TAATAAAATTGTGGTTTCTGACCATAATGGAATATCACTGCACTATAAGAAATGACAAATATGAGGAATTCAGAGAAACCTGGGAAGCTTGTATAAACTGATACAGAGCAAAGTCAACAGAACCAGGACAATATACACAGTGACTGCAATAATGTAAATAACAGCATCACCAAAGGGAAGCCAACCTCAGAGCCTCATTGATTCCAGATTAAAGAAAAGGAAATATCCTTCCCTGGTGGAACATCCTTCATCTTGGTGGAGAGGTTGGGGGATATGGGTACAGAATATTACACAGACTGTCACATGTGGTCACTCTGCTGATTGGGTTTTGGGCAAGTTTTTCTTTGGTAAAGGGGAACTATATTGGGAAATTTTCTTGGTCGGGTTTTTTAATAGTTTATATCTCTCTCTTTTTTACAATCATATTAACATTTTCACATGTTAGTCATGTTGTGAAAGAAGAATCAGAACAAAAGGGAAAAACCAGGAGAAAGAAAAAAAGAGAGCTAATAGTATACTTCCATCTGCATTCACATTCCACAGTTCTTTCTCTGGATGTGGATAGCATTTTCCATTGTGAGTCTTTGGGAATTATCTTAGATCATTGTATTTCTGAGAAGAGCTAAGTCTATCATAGTGGATCATCACACAATGTTGTTATTACTGTGTACAAGGTTGGTTTTTTTTTAAGGACATGAGTCAAAGTTATTACAAGCTGGAGAGTGGCCAGAGGAGGAAGCCAGGAGGGTGAAGAGCCCTGAGTGTATGTCATATGAGGATTGGTTGAAGGGACAGGGTATGTTTTTCCTGGAGAAGAAAAGGCTTACTGGGGGATATGAAAGCTGACTTCAAAAATGAAAAAATGCCAAGTTAGGCCTGGATTTAGGAAACACTTCCTAATGATAGAACTGTCCCAAAGTGGGAGGAGCTGCCTCAAAGAACTGATGGGTTCCCTCTTCTTGAAGGTCTTCAAGTGGAGGTGGGGTTACTAGTACTACTACTTGTCCAATATACAATAGTGAGGTTTCCTTTTGGGTATGGATTGAACCACATACCAATGAAGCCCCTTCCAACTCTCAAAGTCCCCATTGTGGCTCAGGATGCTGTATCTGTGTAAGCCGCCAGGTGTCACTCAAAGCTCAAACCGCCTCATTCCATGGGGCTTGCACAAGGGTGGGAGGGGACCCAATCCAGCGCTACGAGCTCACCCACCACCTACTGTGTGTTCACAGAAAGTACTCAGTCTCCTCACCTGTCCCTGGGCAGGTGTTTAAAGCCCAAGATAATAAATAAATTCCCCAAACAATTCAAAATCCTCTTGATCTCTGTTCTAGGGTCCCAATCTCCTTTCCCTTTCTATTGTTTTCCCACTCATCAATTTATCAGTTCAAGGAATTTACAACAGTGAAAATGAAAGCAAGCCCAGAGCCTGCAGCTCAGATGCAGTTGACTCAAGGGCTCCTGGTCAAGTGGCAAGTGGGATTGAAGAGCTCCTTCCACCTTGTCCCTTACTTGGCCACAAGTACGGAAACTTTGCTGAGAACCAACAGAATGATCATGTTCTCTGATTCAAAGTCAACAAGTAGTTAGTGCTTTGAGTCATTTTTCAGTCATGTCCCCTTCAGAATGACCCCTTTTGGAGTTTTCTTGGCAAAGATACTGGAGTGGTTTGCCATTTCTTTCTCCAGTTTATTTTACAGATGAAGAAACTGAGGCAAACAAAATTAAGTGACTTGTTCAGAGTCACACAGCTAGTCAGTGTCTGAAGTCAGATTTTAACTCAGGAAGAGGAGTCTTCCTGACTCCAAGCTTAACACTCTATCTACTGTGCCACCTAGCTGCCTACTATGTGCCAGGCATTCTGCCTAAGTTATGAGAATATAAAGAAAGCAAATATAATAATAATAGTTAGCATTTATATAATACTTGAAGGTTTGCAAAGCACTTTGTCTCATTTATCAAACGCTATCTCATTTTATCTTCACAACAAATTGGGTGGTAGGCACTATTATCTCTGTTTTATAGATGAGAGACCTTAAGTGACTTGCCCATAGCTGGTGTCTGAGGAAGGATTTGAACTCAGGTCTTCCTGACTCCAACTCCTAGACTCTATCCACTCTTGCCCTCAAAACTGCCCCTGCCCTCAATTAGCTCACAGTCTAACAGAGAGACAACATATAATTGACTAGTTACAAATACGAAATATACAAGAAAGGGGAGATAATTTAAGGGGGAAGACAATAACATCAAAGGGAGAAGGCATGTGGTCTCCCCATGCCCTACATAAGCTCACTGTGGTACCCAGTGCCTGGCCAATGGACTCCAGGACACTTTACCCCCCAGTTTTAGGCTGGGGCTGCCCACATAGTCCAGCTCCTCTTCCATGTATTGTCCTGGCATCTGGTCAGAAAGAGCGAACCCAGCAATGAATGGGATATTCAGCAGTTAGTGGCGGTGATGGTGGAGCATAGCTAGCTATGCTTTCTGCTCAAGAACTGCTTCTGTCCATGAATCATGCAAGTAATTAACTGCCCAGGACCTTCAGCTCCCTTCACTAGGGTATTTGCGGTCTTAATATTTCCAGGTTTAGGAAGAGATACTTTCTTTGATGGAGTCACTGAAAGCAAAGAATGTCGTTAGAGAATGCTAATGAGGTCTTAGAATGCCTGTAAAGCTTCACCACGCCTTTATGACCTTCAGACCTCTCTGACGGAGTCAAGATGGGGAAAAGGCCCTTGGGGGCTTTAAGAGCCTGGTGAATTTCAGAGTTGGAGATTCGAAGATATAACAAGCTTGGAGCTGCTTGTGGATACCTCTTTGAGGAAGGGGGAGGAGAGATTTTCTCTTATCTTTTCACACCCTCCCCCGCCCCCCCACATAGGCCTTATAACTTTGAAAATGACTTGGTGGACCAGTCAGACACACTGCATCTAGCAGGGAGCAGAGACAAAACTCTAAACAGAAACAGATAGTCACCTAGGAGAGGAGGCAGCTTCACGGAGTGTGAGCCTTGGCAGCAGAGAATACAGCTGGGTCATGGAGAGAAGCAGATGCTGGGAGCTCAACTGGGGACCAAGGGAGCTATAGAAGTACTACAGGAAGAGAGAAAGGGTGTACAGGCCTTTCAGCTCCAGGAAGGTACCTTTGCCACACAAATACCCCACTCCCATTGAACTCCCAAGTTTTGAGTCCACGTTTCCTTTGGATCCTGAGTGGGCAGCTAGGTGGTGCAGTAGATAGAGTGTTGGGCCTGGAGTCAGGATGACCTGAATTCAAATCTGATCGTAGACACTTACTAGCTATGTGACCTTGGGTAAGCCTCAGTTTTCTCAACTGCAAAATGGGAGTAATACTAGTACCTACTTCGCAGGATTGTTGTGAGGATCAAATGGAGATAATACTTGTAAAGGGCTTAGCATGTGCTTGGCACATAGCAGGTAATTAACAAATGCTTTTCTTCCTGAGTGTATTCTGGAAGGAGCCTTTGGTTTAGGGGGGGAATGTTTTATAGGTATTGGATTTACTATGTCACCTTAGTAAATGTCTTTGCTAAGAAAGATAAAGCCCTGTCAGATGGATATAGGACGTCCATGCATCCTCTGTCAGCCCTGAGACCATCCCACTCTGCGCTTTCATCTCACTTTGGGGTCTAATGATTCAGAATACAGGCAAGGGAATACCTAGACCTGAGGCACAGTTTGGGGCTGACACAGGATCAGAGAATAACAGAAGGTCAAAGTTGGGAGAGACCTCTAGTCCAGCCCATATACATGAGAATCACCACAGTAAGAAGTGGTACTGGCGCAGTGGATAGAGCACTGGCCCTGGATTCGGGAGGGCCTGAGTTCAAATCCGGCCTCAGACATATAACATTGACTAGCTGTGTGACCCTGGGCAAGTCACTTAATCCCACTGCCTAGCCAAAAAAAAAAAAAGTGGTCCTCCATCCTGTGCTTGAAGAACTCCAAGGAAGGGGAGAGCTCATCACCTCCGGAGGCTGCCCATCCTACTCTCAGACAGTTCTTCCTTACATACAACCCTAATCCTGCCCCTCCCCAATGCAAGCAGAACCAACCTCTTCTCTCTTCCTCGAGGTAGGTCTACTGGAGGGCCCCACCCCCTATTGGATGGCTCTTCCCAGAAGCTCTGTTTCAGGAGGACACCCCTGCCATCCATCTCTTCATTTTCTAACAGGCTGTACTCTTCTGGAAGGTGGCACTCGGCTCCCAGCTGGGTCCCTTATTCCCCCACCCACCCTCTTTTAAGCTTCCTTTCATGTGCTGTCTCCACATCAGAATGTAAGCTCTTTGAGGACAGGGACTTTGTTTTTGCTTGTACTTATACTCTCAGCACGGTGCTTGGCATATAGTAAGTACTTAATAAATGCTTGTCTACTTACTTATTGAAGACAGCGGGTGTTGCCCTGAGCCTTCTCTTCTCTTAGTTAAATGTGCTCAGTTTCTTCAGCCGATCCCCTGATGGTACAGAGGTCCTTCGCTATTCTGGCTGCCACCTTTCAGCTGATCAATAGCCTTCTGAAATCTTGGTGATCAGAACTCACCCCAATCCTCCCAGATGAGGGGTGACCAAGACAGAGGAAGCCGCCTCCTTGTTCCTTACTGAAGAAGCCCAAGATAGCCCTAGGATTGTTGGTGCTACCTTGCCCTGCTGGCTCCTACTGAGCTTGTAGCACACCAGCATCCCCAGATCCCTTTCAGAAGAGCAAGATTAATTGTGGACAAAAAGCCAAAGGGAAGGGTGGGGCCTCTGGGCCCCCTTTGTTCTCCTGGGCTGCACTTGGGAGCCCTGGGATTGGAGGAGCCCAGCAGCTGGACTAGTCTGGGGAAAGTTCTCTGAGCTTGGGGCATCCTGGTGAGTGGTGGGTTCCTTCCATGTCCTGTGACCCAGGAGCCAGGCAGGGCTGAGCTCCAAGAGGGGAAGCTTTCCCTTTGGGACCAGAACTCTGAGGTCCTTCCTTTCCTGTGCCCCACCCCATGCAGCCATCGAGCTGATCAAAGACCTCATCAACACTGACGTCCGGACTGCTCTGCTTAAAGGCCTGGTTGCGCTCCTGAAACCCTCTGCCAAAGACACCGCCAAGCTTCATCCCAAGGTCTTAGAAGGTGAGCCGGGCCTCCCGGGCAGCCCCCAGCAGGGGTCCTCTTGCCCAGGTCCACCCCTGCCCACCATTCCTTCCTTCTGCAGACCCAACAGTATTCCAGGTCTCTGGCCACCTCCCTGTGTTTCTGCAGCAAGCTGCAGCTGCCAAGTCCATTGGGTGAGGAAGCTCCCTTCAATACCGCCCCCCAGGACCCTTGGAGTTAAGACACCTTCTGTCCAAACATCAGCCCCCCCCCCCCCGCGGTAGGAAAAGGGTGTCAGGAAGGGGGAAGAGGGAAGTGGTTTGAGCTTTACTCCAGCCTTGTTGCCCCCACCCCCATGCTGGCCCTACCTCCATGGCCCTCACCTCCTTCCCCACAACTGTCAGAAAACTTGGATCTCTGGGTTCTGTCACAAACCGAGGAGGGCTTGGAGTAACGAAGCTTCAGTTTTGAAAGCAGCGTTAGCACCAGCTGGGTGGCCTTGGGAAAGTCACATCCCCTCGGAGGGCCTCAGTTTCCTCTTTTGTAAAACTGGTTGCTTTTCTTGCATGGCCTTCCTCCTAAGTTGGGGGGGGGGATGGCTCTGGGAACAGCAAGGCCCATAAAATATGTCTTAATGATGACCATGGTGGGGGGCTGGAGGGGAGTTGGGGCCAGAGTCCTCAAAGCCGGGAGGACCGCTTCCAGCTTTGCCTGGCTGTTGGGGCAACAACCCTCCCTACTATCCCCCACAAATAAGCCTCTGAAGAATTTTTTTTTTTGCTTTTTGGTGAGGCAATGGGGTTAAGTGACTTGCCCAAGGTCACACAGCTATTAAGTGTCAAGTGTCTGAGGTCACTTTGAACTCAGGTTCTCCTGACTCCAAGGCTGGAGCTCTATCCTTTGCGCCACCTAGCTGACCCCTGTTTGAAGATTTCTGAGCAGGGTAGGGGACCAGACAGCCCAGACCACTCTAAGACCTCTCTCATTTGCAGTAAGGATTTCCTAGAGTCTAGACTCAGTCAGTTTCCCTACACCTTCCCCCAATTCCTCCTGGCTCTGTCCTCTGGGTCCTTCAGATTCTAAAAGACAGCTCTCATGTCCCTTCCCCACCCCTAGGCTAAACATCCCCATTCTTCCAGCCATCCCCATGTAGCTGCTCATAAAGTCTCATGGCAGAGTAGATAGAGCTCTGGTTCCCTGTCAGGTGACCAGGGGGCATAAAGGAAGACTAGGCAAAGGCAACCGCCTGAGCAAATGCACCGAGGATTTGTTTGGGGAGCACGGAGTGTGGAGGATTGCATGAGATTAGTCTGGAAAAGGAGAACAGGCAATGCCCACTCACCATGGCTCCCTCCCAGCCTGAGGGCAGGACTTTGCATGACTTTACCAAATCCTCCTCCTTAACTTCAGCTCACTTTGGGAGGCGATTTCACTTCTTTGGATTCTAATTCTACTTCCCGGCCTAGGCCTATTCGAGATAGCTCCCGGTGATGTGGGGCTGTCCATCCCTCCTCCTCCTGCATACCCTCATGTCTCTAGGATTCCAGGACACCCCTCTCTCCTGCTTCTCCTCCTACCTCCCTGACCGCTCCTTCTCCGTCTCCCTTGCTGGCTCTTGCTCCAGATCATGCCTTCTAACCCAGGTGTCCCCAAAGGCTCTGTCCTGGGCCCTCTTCTCCCTCTATGCCATTTTACCTGGCAGTCTCATTAGCTCTCGTGAGTTCAGTCACCATCTCTACACAGACGGCTCTCAGATAGGCTTGTCCAGCCCTTGTCTCTCCTGACCTATAAGACACGTTCCTCCAACTGCCTATTGGACACCTTGAATGGGATGTCCCACAGACATCTTAAACTCAATATGTCCAAAAGTGACCTCATGATCTTTCTCCCCCAAAGCTGTCCTCCCTGCCTCACTTTCCTATAACTGTTGAGACTCCATCATCCTCCCAGTTATCTAGGCTCACAACCTCGATGTCACCCTCCTCTCATATCCAGTTACTTGCTCAAGCTCACTAATTTAACCTTCAGGACATCTCTCATACTTCCCCTCTTGTCTTCTCTGACACCGATAACCCCAATACATCTCATATAATAGATAACCCCAATACATCTCATATAATAGCCGCTGTGGGGGGGGCAGGGTCTGCCTGCAACAAGTCTCTCCCCTCACCAGTCCATCCTCCCTCAGCCATCAAAATGATCCTTCTAAAGCTCAGTTCCATCACCTTCCCCAAATTCAGTCAACTCCAGTCATTCTCTGTCATCTCCAGGATCAATGTAAAATCCTAGATTTGACTTCAAAGCCCTTCATAACCTGACCCCTTCCTATCTTTCCAGTCTTCCTTCACTTCACTCTCCAACATATATTCTGTGACCCAGTGAAACTGGCCTCCTGGCTAGTCCTTTAACAACAAACTCCATTTCCTGACTTTTTTTTTTAAGGCTACTGGGGGGGTCTTTGCCTGGGCTATTGCCCAGGGTCACACAGCTAGTATGTGTCTGAGGTCAGATTTGAACTCGGGTCCTCCACAAACTCCACTTTCTGACTCTAGGTGTTTTCTCTGGCTGTGCCCCCTACTTGGCATGCCCTCTCTCCTCATCTCTACCTCCTGGCTTCCCAGCTAAACTCCCACCTCCTCCAGGAAGCCTTTCCCAATCTCTCTTCTTTCTAGGGCCTTTCCTCTAAGATTATCCCCCATTTTCCTGTCCATAGCTTGGTCATTCAGGATTGTATTCATGCTGTCTTCCCCATTAGACTGTGAGCTTCTCAGAGGGCAGGAACTGTCTTTTCCCTTCCTCTGTATCCCCAGTGCCTGGCACACAGTAGGTGCTTAATCTATGTTTATTGATTGACTGACCTCGTGGGCTAATTGTAGCAGCTCTGACTCAGGAGCACCTGGGCCACAAAAGTCCCAATGCGCACTCGCTGGGGGCCTCTGGCTGAGCTGACCCAGGGGAGGCCAGCTTGCTCACTGGGCCGCTCCCCATAGGGTCATATCTCGGAGCTCCATGGCTGTGGCGGAGGAGTTATTGTCTCTGCAGGTAGTCAGTCACCTTATGTATGCCATGGGCAACCAGGACCATAGCAACGGGCAGCGACTGGCCAGCCTCACCTTGGAGGTGTGGGGCAGGGGCTTCAGGGAAGGGCTGGGGCCTGGGGAGGGGAACCCTGGGATTGGGAGGGGGGACAGGGACCTGGAGGGGAGAGAGAGGTGGGGCCTGGGGCATGGGGTGGGGGTGGGGGGGAGGGGGTCTGGGACTATAGCCAGCATCTCCTGGCTCTACTCTCTTCTCTTTCTCTGCAGTACTTTGTCCAGACGTTTCCCATAGCGGAGGAGCATGTACACATGGCCATGGGGGACACTCTGTTTGAGCTTTTCATGGTGATCTTCCCCCCGCCCCCCGCCCCACCTCCGGCCAAGGCCCAGCCTTAGCTGGTGCATCTCCTAGCTCAGGAACCTACTCCTCACCCCCTCCACAAACCTCGGTAGGCTTCCAGTTGGCAGTCTGCTTCCACATCCTCTGTGCCCTCCTCAAGAGGCCAGGCTATGCTGGGGCCTAGGCATCTCTCGGTGCTACTCTGCCGGGCCAATCCCATCCTGCTTCTCTGTGGCTCCTGCCGCGGCCTAAGGCAACCCAGGCCTGGTGGGAACTTCCCTGAAGACCAGGTTTGGGGGCAGGCCCCTTCCCCACAGTGCCCCCTCCACCATCCCCAAAGCCATCTCACTTTAACTTTAATGCCCCAATTTCCTAGAGCAATGCAGAGGACTTGTACATGAATATGGACAGCATCCAAGCTGACATCCTGGCCTCCAACAAGACCAACATCCCTGAGGGTAAGCTAAGCTCTAGAGGCTGGAGGAGGGCTTCAGTCGGGATGGGAGCACAGGCAGCCTGAAGACTCACGTCTGCCTCCAACTTCCAGCTTTAGGCATCTCCTCTTCCAACATCTCCATGACTGCCTACAAGGGCCTTGGAGTCCCCAGGTCTGGGGAGGAAAATGACATGACAGAGGAGAGAGCTAAGGGTAGTGAAGAGCTGGTCAAGTTCCACTAAAGCCGTCCCACCTCTGGCCTCGTACCTTCATCCCTGCCTGCTGGCTGCTCATCAGACTGGGGAGAAGGGAGGCCATTGAGGCTGATGAGGTGTGGCAGCAGCTACGGGCATGCGAGAAGGGGAGGCTTTCCACCACGGGGGGGGGGGGCCTTGGCTGCCCCTCCAGCCCCCCACCCAACCTCTGACTCTCTGAGAGATGGGAGCAAGTTCAATAAACAGAATGTCCTTTCTCAGTGTGCTTTTGTGAGGGTGTCTATGTTCCTATTCACTCGTATCTGCCAATGTATTATGTGTTACGTGTAACAGATCTAACGGCCTTGCCTTCTGGTTTTAGACCTGGTCCTCTTTCCCTACCTGCTCATCTTAAAAACAGGGGTGACTGAACCTCAGAGCTGCCTGACAGCTATTGGGCAAAGAGTTACCGCATGGTGTGTGGTCCAGCCTTCACAGACTGACCCTGGCTCCTCTTAAGCTAGGGTGAAGGCTCAAGCCCCTCCCTTCAGAGTTCAAAGAAAAAACCAGGCCTGAGGTGGTCAAGATGGCAGGGTGAGAGGAAGCACTGGAGGGTAGCTCTCCCCCCACCCCTTCTTAACAAAGATCTGAATACTGTGCCAGATTAAATGTCGAAGGGGAAAGCCAAGAAGAAGTCACAGTGAGTCATTTTTCTAGCCCAGGGCAGCTTAAGGAGATGGATAGTGTCTAAGGACACTGGAGAGGGGATCAGGCCAGGAGCCTGCGGACCTGGAATGGTCACAGGCATTTGGCCTCAGCTGTATACTGAGCAAGGAATAAATTCAGGGAAGGAAACAGTAGCTTCGTGGCTCTGATCCCACAAGCAGCATCTGAGACCAAAGAGGAGCTGACAGTTCAGTTGTTCTAAACCTGCAGAGCCTCCCAGAAGGCCATAGTGGATCAGTCCAGGAGCAGTCTGCTGAAACTTCCAACCACAAACAAGCCCAGGTACTTGCAGAGCTCAGATCGGGAGGGTAGCGAAAGTATATAGGCCCCCAACCTCAAGCAGAAGGATGTAAGAAGACAGGAGTAGGGGCAGCTAGGTGGCGCAGTGGATAGAGCACCGGCCCTGGATTCAGGAGGACCTGAGTTCAAATCCAGCCTCAGACACATAACACTTACTAGCTGTGTGACCCTGGGCAAGTCACTTAACCTCATTACCTAGCCAATAAAAAAAAAAGAAGACAGAAGCTCAGGCCAACATCCTACACAGAAGCCTAACCCTAACAAAAAGTCCAAAATCAAGAAAGAAGCTGGAAGAATGAGCAAACAAAAAAACGCAATCTGGCCATAAAGACTACTGTGGTGACGGAAGCTCAAGACACGGAGAACATCTCCAAAGAAAAAAAATCTACAAGCAAAGCTTCAAATGTACACGCAGTTCAGATCAAGTCCAATAATTCCTAGAAGAGTAAAAGCAAGCGTTAAAGGAGCTAAAAAAGACGAAAGAGAATACTAGAAGAAAGAATGAGAAAAGAGGCGAGAGCTAGGAAAGAAAGATATGAAGAGAATGAATAACCTAGAAAAAGAAGCACAATCCTTACTGAAGACAATGACTCCTCGAAAATTAGATTTGACCAAATGGAAGCTAGTGACTCCATGAGACACCAAGAAATAATAAAATGAAAGTCAAAAGACTGAAAACATGGAAGAAAATCTTCATAAGAAGAATAACTGCTCAGTAATACAAAGATCTAAGACATCTCCAAAAGACTCATGATGGAAAATGTTATCCACATATGAAGAAAGAACTACGGAGTTGGAATGCAGATTGAAGCATACTATTTGCTATTTTTTTTCTTCTGTTGCGTTTTGTTTCCTCTTTCTGGTGGTTCCTCCTATTGGTTCTAATTCTTCCTTACAACATCACTAATGTGAAAATATGTTTAATAGGAATGTATATGTATAGCTACATCAGATTGTGTGCTATCTTGAGGAGGGTGATGGGGAGGGAGGGGGAGAAAAATTTAAAACTCAAAAGCTTATGGAAGTGATGGTTGATAATTCAAAATAAATAAATTAATAGAGAAGAAGAAGAAGATGAAGAAGAAGAAGAAGAAGAAGTAGTAGTAGTAGTGGTGGTGACCTGGAAAATTAGATTGAGGAGAGATCTTTTAAGAATCAATGGACAACCTGAAAGCCATAAACAAAAAAAATAACAGACATCATATTTCAAGAAATCATAAAAGGAAACTGCCCAGATATTGTAGAACCAGAGAACAAAATAGAAATTTAAAGAATCCACCAGTTACATTCTGAAAGAAACCCCACAACAAAACCTCCCAAGAATATTGCAGCCCAAAATCCAGAGATCTCAGGTCAAAGAAAGAATACTGCAAATAGCCAGGAAGAAACAATTCAAATACCAAGGAGCCACAATCAGGATCACACAAGACTGAAGCCTGGAGGGGGAACAGAAAGGATTATCTCACATAATCAGGTTATGAAGGTAGACAGGTATACAAATCAGAAGGGGTCAGGGAAGTGGCTGACACTTGAAATCCACCCTCATCTGAAGTGGTCAAAAGAAGGAAGAATAAACACACACACACAGTTGGGTACAGAAATGTCATTTGACAGGGTGAAAGGAAAGAAAAAGGAAAACATGGGGAGGGAGAATTAGTGGGAATGGAGGGACAGAATTAGTCTTAAGCAAAACAAATTCTAAGGTCAATTGAAGGAATTGGGGATATTTAGCAGGAGAAGAGAAGACTAGGGGTGAGTGGGGGTGGGGAGCAGGACATGAGAGCTGTACTAGGCAGGCTGTTCCATGAGGGAGAAGGCTCCAAAGGGCAGAACCAGGCGCAGTGGGCAAAAGCTACCAAGAGTCCAATGTCACCAAATGACAAATTTAGAGCTGGAAGGGACCTCAATGGTTATCTAATTTAACCCATGCCGGAAAAAATCCCCACTATAACCTTTGGGACAAGTGGGCATCCAGCCTGTGCTGGAAGCCCTTCCAGGAGCGGGGAGTCCACTGCCTCCCCAGGCAGCTCCTTCCAGGCTGGGGCAGCAATAGCTTGGGAGGCTTTTCCTGATTTTGTTTTCCTCTTCTTCCCCTCCTTTATTCCCCCCTTAAAAATAGTTCGTTGGGACGCTAGGTGGCGCAGTGGATACAGCACCGGCCCTGGATTCAGGAGGACCTGAATTCAAATGCGGCCTCAGACACATAACACTTACCAGCTGTGTGACCTTGGGCAAGTCACTTCACCCCATTGCCCAACAAGAAAAAAAAAAGGGAAAAAAATGGTTCGTTATGTGGGATGGCTCTCCGGGCAGGCGGAGGAGGCATATTGGGAGAAATTTAGGGGACAGAAAACCAAGACAGCCCTAAGACTGTTTTTAAAGGTTTTCCAGATATCAAGCAGTACATCGTTGGTCCATCAGATGGCACTGCAGCAATCCACAAGTTCCCTAATTCTAACGGTTCAGCTGAAATCTGGCAGTCTGATCTGGCGGGCATATGCCCTAAATTACTAAAAATGCCAAATCTTAGCACGGTGCCTGGCACATAGCGGGTGCTTAATAAACACTGATTGATTTAACTCTTACCTCCATTCCCTGAGCCCCAAACCCATGTGGCTATACCCCATCAAACGTGACCCCCCCACAAAATCATAGATGTCGCCAATGCACGGCTAAGGGTCATGTCACTTATTAAAACAATCAGATATTTATTTGTAAGCCAGCTTCAACCAGGAGGCAGCTATGGTGGTCGCAGCTGGGGGCGCAGCACGCCTTTATCCAGCCCCTGCTTCCAGAGCGCGTCGCTGCTACCAAATGCATGTGATATCATCGCCTATGTCTACAAAGGGGAATTCAAATGCCGCCGCCTCCAGAAAGTCTCTCTCTAGGGCCCAGTACCGGGTTTTACAGCTACTTTCTCCATTCCCCTGGCTTACAGGAATGGGGTCCTGCTTTTATAAACTAAAGCTTTTATAAACTTTGAATCCACGTGGGTCCAGTCGGGCAGGGAGGAGGCGGGACTGCGCAGACGCACTGCGGTCCCCCGCGGAGGGTGGAGGGACCAAGGGGACGCAAAGCTGGGAAGCCGAGAGAAATCTGGGGCTGGGTGGGAACTACACTTCCCAGGAGGCGCCGCGCGCCGCGCCAAGGGGCGGAAGTGCGGACGCACACGCAAAGGACGCAGGACGCAGGCGCGCGGCATTTAAACGGCGGCGGTTGGTACAGGCTAGACTTGAAGGAAAAGGCGGCCACCACTACTGCCGTCGCAGCCGCTGCTGCTTGGAGGCCTGTCCGACCACCGAACGCCCCTCGCTCCCCGACTCGTTTCGCCTGACTGACTCGCCATGGACGCTGCTCTGCTAGCTCGCCTGCTCCCCGGCCTAGCCATCAAGATCCAGAGAAGCAACGGTGAGGGGGCGGGGCCAGGGCGTGGGCGTGATCGAGGCCAAATGGGGGCGGGGCTGGTGTCGCGCGTGGGCGGTGCTTCTTGGGGGCGGGGCATGGGCTGGTGGGGCTTCAGGCTTGGGGCAGCAGGCGTGGGGCTGGCTTGGGTGAGGAGGTGGTAGCCATGGGCGGAGCTCAGACTCCTTCCGGTGGACTTGGGAGCGGGCGTTCAGGCTGTCATGAATGGCGGACCCCCTCCCCTAAGGTCTTGGGTCTCCCCTCTGAGAACTCGGTCTCAGCCTTCCCAGGCCAGCGGTGCCAGCTTGTCCCAGAGAGAGGAGGGGGAGGAGGCAGAGGCTCTAGTCTTGTGCCACGTGCCCAGCCTGGGCTTCCACGTCTGCTGGGAGAGGGGCGGCCTTGTTGACAGCAGGGTCTACACCATAGGGAAGGGCTTTGCTTGACCCTTTCTTAAAAGGCTGCCTGCAGGGGCAGCCTGGTTGGCTTTGGGCAGTGTGCTCTCTTACCTGTGCTGTCAAGGGGCTAGACCCATCCCCTGGCTTGCCTGGGGCCATTGTGACCAACAGTGTGACCACACTGTCTATGGGTGCCTGGAGGTTGGAGTGCCGGTTGGCATGGCACGTGGGCCATGGACCCTCTGCTAAATCTTATGTAAGCTCCTTGAGGGCGTTTTTGTATTCCCTGAAGTACATTACAGAGTATATACTTAATAAATGTTGAACCAATGAGATGGACCAGGGGGGGCTTGTGAAACTGGGGAGGGGGAGGAAACATGGCAGCTCTGAGAGCACACTGGAGGCCCGGAGCCCTGTTGATTGTAGGAACTCCTTACTCTGTGACATGTTGCTCTCTTTGAGGGCTCTGAAGGCCCATTAGCTACAACTTTGTATTCTGAGAAGAAAGAGAGCACTGAGCTTCCCTTGGCCCACCTCCCATTCTTCCAGGCCATGTGAGGCTCACTACCTCTTTCTTGATATGGTCTTGAAGGAATGGGGAGTTCTGGCCAGCCCTGGGACCCTGCAGGGGGCAGCATTCATTCTGTTGATCCCTCCTCACACCCGCATCTCCCTTTCCTCTTTAGGCCTGATTCATAGCGCCAATGTCATGACAAGTAAATCTGGAGCGGTCCTCTGTTTCAGTGGAATGGGCAGAAGGTGGCTCTACCAAGGGCAAAGAGGTGAGTTGGGCAGTTCTGACTCATTTATGGAGAGGCCTTCTTCCCCAAGGGTCAGGTCTGTGGCAGTCCGACTTGGGCCTGGTGATTGCTGTTTCATCCCCTATGTTCACATGCTATGCAGACAGCAGGGATCACCCATGAACTATAAAAAGGGACCTGTGCTATAAAGCCTGAGACTCCATTCAAGTTGTCAAACATTTTATCTACATGTTTTATATAATAAGCAGGGCCAGGTCTATGCTCAGCTCCTTAAGGGCAAATCTCTGCAGGCTAGTACACCTGGCCATTATTCCTGGCCAAGGACTCGTGAACCAGAGAAGGGAATGTATGAGGTTTCAGGCTGGACAGCATTGTAGGAGCGAGAGAGGTGAAGTGGGAGTTACCTTACTGCCAGAAAAAAACAGAGAGACCTTGCTGGAGCCCCAGCACTGGCTTCAGGGGAGGAGCTGCCTGGGAGGGTCTGACCAGAGAGACTGCGTAGGGCTGTCATAGGTCAGAGATGGAATGGGGATTTCTTATTCAGGTACCAGTGTTGGACCACACGCGCACATATGTACACACACACACGCACACATATGTGAACTTCCCCCTTACCACTGTTCAGAGATGGAATGGGTTTTAATTCTGTGATTAAAGAGAGGAAGGATGATCTTGGTTACAAGAAATGTAAAGGAACTGAAAACCTACCAATTATCATCAAAAGCCTGGAGGAAGGGTTAGGTAAGTATGGCAGGCATAAAAGGATAGGGAGGAGACTGGCCTACCCCAAAGAACCCTCTAGAGTGTGGGCTCTTCCCTTGGGGGTCTGTGGATTTGTTTCTTAATGTCTGGTGACATGTTATATTTCAATATCATTGGTGTCCTCTGTGAGCCAATTTTTTTTAATGCATTTAAAAATATTGAGAGAATGGAACTAGGCTTCATGAAGTGACAAGCCAAAGGGATCCCTGTATTTCAGAAGTGAAGAGCCTTTGTTCTAGAGTCTGGGGTGATGATGGGGGGCAGAAAAGGTAAGTTGGAGCTAGCTTATCTCAGAGGGCCTTTGATGCCAGGCTTAGATGTAGGCACCTGCAGGCCAAACAGCTAATCTTTACTGCCTACAGAATGATAACATAATGTGGGGTTTGGTGCAGATTAATAGCAGACCAAGGAGAGTACTCACTCCATGTAGGGTGCTCAGGGAAGGGTCCAGCCTGGTCGGAGTGCTGTCCCCAGTCTCCAGGAATAAGGCGAGGTATCAGTTGGAAGCAGAAGGGAAGTCACGCAGGATGCTGCAGCAGGTGGTCTGAAGGAAGACAAGAGGAGGCTTGGTGATTGGGAGGGAGGCAGTGGTGGCATCAGCCGCTTGGGTTAACAAGACTGCAGGCTGCCCCCCACTCATTCTCACTGAGGTCTGGTGACATTTGAGAATGCTGACTGCTCTGTAGTTTTACTAGTGAGCTATATACTTCTGCCTGGGAGGCCTAGAAGTCTCCTGGCCCAAAGGGGAGTGCTCGGCAGCCCCGTAGTTAATGTTCAGGAGAGGCTATTGTGCTGGTTGTTGTTATTTGTCCTTCATTCTCCAAGATGACCAGTGACATCAGGAAGGTGATTTGAGGAACACTTTCGAGGCAAGCTCTCCAGTCCTGGGTGTCTTAAGCCAAGAATAGGTGACCACTGGTGGGGGTCTTGAAGAGAGTCTTTGTGCTTCAGGTCATAAGCTTTCAGTAGTTCATTTTTGGTTTTATAATTCAGTTCAAACCCCTTACCAGGCATTCAAGGGCCTCCCTGATCTGGCCAGCCGTGCTTCATCTTCTGTTCAGTAAGACTAATTCTATACCTTATGTTGTCCTGTGCAGCTGGAGGGACTGGAGAAAAAAGGCACCTTGTAGCTGGGGCCTTATGGCATTGTGGGTGCAGGTCTTAGTAGTGGCTCCTCAGCCAGCCTGGAAGCATTTGAAGGGCTGAGACAGCATCTTACCTTGACTCCCCCTCAGTGGGCGCATCCTCCTGTACCAGGCTCTGTGGGTGATGACGATCCTTGAAGGACTGGCAGGGCTTTGGTGTCTAAGAGCTGAGCTATCTCCAGTCATCCTGATGAGTATCTGACCACTGGACCCAGAAGGCTCTGGAGGAGAAAGTGAGGCTGGTGACCTTACACAGCCCTCCCTCTCTCAAAACAAAGTCAATTGCAAGTCATGTCATCATCTCCCTGAAGTCATGGTCCTCTTCAAAAATGAAGGACAAACACAATAATCTGTCTAGGAAGGAAAGTCTTCATGTTGGACGAGACAGAATTTGGCTGTCTGCACTTTGAAAAGCTCTGTGTTTTTGCTCCTTAAGTTAGGCCAAGTGTGGCTTTTTTGAACCCCCTGTGATGTCATGCAGACAAACATGCGAGGGCCTCCCAGGCCCTGGGATTGTGACGTCGCTGCAGACAGCAGCAAAAAAGTAGAGCTAAGGTGATCCTGGAGGGAGATGTGGTGCTGCACAAGGACAGCCCAGCCCAGCAGTGTTGAGGGCACGCTGCCAAGAGCCATCGTATTGCTGCTGCTGGAAGTGTCAAGCAGAGAGCCTTAAAGGCATTCACCAGGCCGGCTCACTTGGGACAATTTAAGTTGTTTGCCCATTGAGAAGGCCAAAGAGCTGCTAACAGGGCTTGCATCATTGCCCAGGGAGCCCTTGGGAGGAGGAGCGTTGACCATTATCTTCCAGGAGAGCTGCTGGCATCCTGGGGGAGCTGTGTGGCAGCTAGCCAGCCGCCGGACTTCACCCTCATTCCACCCATCCATCTAGTCATGTTTCTTGTGAGCAACACATGTCTACCCTTGGGCTGCCGTTCAGAAAATTCCCTCCAAGCACTTTTCTAACCTCCTGCTGAAGAATAGCAGCCTGCATTTTTTTAAAAATTAATTTATTTTGATTTATCAACAATCACTTCCATGTGCTTTTGAGTTTAAACTTTTTCTCCCCCTTCCTCCACACCACCCTCCCCAAGACGGAGCACAATCTGATATAGGCTTTACATATACATTCCTATTAAGCATATTTTCATATTAGTGATGTTGTAAGTAAGAATTAGAACCAATAGGAGGAACCACCAGAAAGAGGAAACAGAACTCAACAGAGGAAAAAAAAAGTAGCAAATAGTATGCCTCGATTTGCATTCAAACTCCATAGTTCTTTCTTTGGATGAGGATAGCATTTTCTATCATGAGGCCTTTGGAGACGTCCTAGGGACATTGTATTGCAGGGAAGGGTTAAGTTTATCAATATTAGTCATCGCACAACGTCAGTCTGCGTCTCTTAAGGATGAGCTCTTGGTGGGACTCTCCAGACAGCTTGGGCTTCCAGCCTGGATGGGAGCTGAGCAGATGACTTTGTCCCACTGAACTCTTTGCTTGCTTATTGCAGATTGACTTTGAGGACGTGGCAGCCATCAACCCAGAGCTTCTGCAACTGTCTCCTCTCCCTGTCCACCCAAAGGACAGCCTGCCTCTGCAGGAGAATGTCACTGTCCAGGTAGGTCACCCACAGGGCGGGGCGAGGTGAGGGACCCAGCCGAGAAGGGCCAACACCTCTGTGTCCTCTTTGTGTTTTTTTTTCTCCCCAGAAACAAAAGCGCCGATCAACCCTCTCCAAAATCCCTGCTCCCAAAGAAGGTAACTAAACAGAGTGTGTCTGACTGGTGTGTGCTATGCAGCCCCTCCCCCAGGCCTGGTGCTCGAGCTGCCGCTCACTAGTTTGATCCCCTCACCTGCCTTACTGCCACCGTGGGGCTGTGGCTTCTGCATGGACAGTGCTGGATCCTCTGTCCCTGGCAGGAAAGTCCTTGTGGTCACTTCTCTGACCAGGAATTCAGTGCTTTCACTGGAGGCCCTGTATTACCACCTGACGCTAATCGGTCTGACTGGTCAGTAAGTAGACGTGAATGACTTTGAGTTGGCCAGGCACTGGGGCTGCAAAGGAAAAGCAAGAACAGAGTTTACATTCCCATGGGGGACACACCCCCTATCAGTCAGTACATCCTGGATGGATGGGGGCGGCACTACCAAGCAGGGGGACCAGAAAAGGCCTCCTTGGGGGAAGGGCATTTGAGCGGAGTCTCCAAGGAAGCCAGAGATGCTAGCTGAGGTGGAGGTGAGGAGATCAAGCATTGCGGGCACGGAGTGCTCTGGAAGAGCACAAGAGAGGTGGCCTGCCTGTGGGGGAGCAGGGAAGGGGGGGTGCCTAGCCCTGGCTGCCCTGTGCTGCTGTCAGTCTGCTTTTCCCATTGCTTAGCACCCTCTCTGGGGAAAGTATAATCTTCAAATCTGCCTTCTAAATGTCTCCCTGCGTCTGGTTGTTGGAAGGGCCCACAGCAGTGCTGGAGGAAATGACAGACACTCCCCCCAACCCCCCAAGGCAGAGGATCAGGCTGGGGAATTTGGTGTCTTTGTAAGTAAAGTCTGTTGACCGTCCTGACATGGACTCTTAGTGTTAACGCCTCTGTGACCAGAGAATACTGTCCACAGCCACCTGAAAAAATGCGGTGTTGACAGAAAGGGATGGAAATCATGAGAACTGGTTTTTCTTAAGGGTCATAGAATTTAGGAGTCTTGGCCTTTTGGTTCCACAGGGCATAGTTGAGGTGCCAGTGTGCTAAAAGCATTCCTTGTGGGGGGAGCATTGACTGTCTCAGGGAGGTTTTGGAGCATTGATAAGAGATGCCAGTGCTCCCCCAGCCCTGTGACAGAAAGCTTTGGGCCCCATCTGGTGCTTTAAGATCTCTGTCAGTCTAGGACTCCTAGACATTTTGGGGTTTTGGGTTCAGGTTGTAAAGCCTTCAGAGAGGTAGCATGACTGAGTGGATAGTGTGGGGGGCGGATTCCCATCCTGCCTCCCGATGTTTGTGCTTGATACTCCGTAGGACTAATCTCCCGAATCCCGTAGACTGGCTACAGTATATGTTGGGGTGGGAATTCCCTGCGGAAATCATGTCACATCTGCACACTCAGTCCCCAAATCCATTTCTCATTTCTGATCTCCTATAGACCACCTTACTGTACAGTTCAGTTCCATTCATTCAGTGCCCACTGCGAGCATGGCCATGATACCCATCTGGCCCCTTTTCTGAGTGAAGATGGTGAGGACATGCTGCTAGGTAAGGAAATTGTAGTGTCCCACACTGGAAGGCAGCTCAGGGCTTCCCAGGCCAGTCCCTTCTGTAACCCGCCTTTGGCCCGGAGACCTACATCCTGTGATATGGGGCTCTTGACCTCCCAAGGAAACCCATTTGCTTAAATCTGCCTTGGCCACTTCCACCTCAGGTCTCTGAGACCAAGCAGAATAAGTCTGCGTCCTCTTCCATATGACAGCCCTTCAGTTATCACACACAGGCACCCAAGCATGCTATTCTCCAGCTGAATGTCCTTCATCTTTTAACTTTTGTGTGGCCTGGTGTCCTTGCCATCCTCCTCACAGTGCTCTGGGCAAGCTCCTCCATCCTGAACACAATGGCCTAGGTGTTGTCTGACTAGGATCAGAGGACTCTCACCCTCTCTTATTCTGAGAACTCTGCATCAAAGAGCTTATTGGCTCTTGGCATTTTATTGTCTCATTCAGCACGCATGACGCCCACCTCCCTTACCTTGTATTCATGAAGGTTACTTGGAACTCTTGTTTATGTTTATCCCTGTTAAGATGCAGCCCATTTTTCCGACTTTTGAGATTTTTGGATCTAATATACTAACATACTTTAGCACTAACTTACTTATTGGCTATTCCCCTAGCCTTTGTCATCAGCAAATTTATCACACGCCTATGTCTTCATCTAAGTCACTGCTAAAAATGTTGAAGAGAACAGAGCACTGAATAGGTAGATTCCTGCACTGCAGACTTCTCCCTTGTGGGACAGTGCTCCATTGATGAGTATGAATTTATCTCCCTGTGTCACCATCTTGCTCACATCTTGCTATCAGGTGACACTTTCAGCATTCCTTGCTGAAATTTGGGTAATGCTATGTCTACAATTTTCACCTGGTCTGCTGACCTGGTAACTCTGTCAATAAAAGAAAGCAGTTAACTGAAATTTTCTTGATGGCCCCCTGTCTAGTGACTGCTGCTGCTTCCCTTTCTAAATCCTCCTCATCCGTCTGTTGAATAATGAGAGAGAATTTTGCCAAGATTCAACATCGGTACTTTGAGGATTCCACTCCCCTGCCTTCCCCTTTTTTAGCCCATCCAGTTCTACAGTGATGCTCCTTTTCTCCATGATATTTTGGTTGAAGTGGTTAGACCAGGTTTTGGTTTGGACCAGGTTTGTGTTGTTTCTCTGCTGTTGTAGAGAGCTAACTCCCCGAGAGCAAACTCCCTCTGCAAAGCTGGATGGGCACCAGCTCTTCAGCACAGACTTGGAAAGTTGCTTGGGAGCCCTGAGAGATTAAGTGACTTGTCAGGAGTCACCCAGGCAGCTTGTGTCAGAGGGAGAGCTTGAACCCAAGTCTTCCTGGCCCCAAGACCATATCCATTACGCCAATCTGTCTCTCCAGGATTTTTTTTTCCCAGAAATCATGTTTAGTGCTTTCAGGGTCCAGGGATGTTGGTCTAGGTCTGATAACTTGAAGTCTTTGTGGGCAGTCCAGAATGCCATTTCCCTGTTTAACCACTTTGCCCTTCTCACCCTAAGGAAGTGAGTCTTACTGTCTTCTCCGGTATCATAATCCCATCTTGTCATTTTCTCAGGTTATCTTGAGCCTCCTTATGGGCCTCCACCTCAACTTGTCCCAGAGGTGTCTGCCTCTGATACAGGATTAAGCCGTGGTTTGTGTCTGTTCTCTCTTTATCTTCTTGCTTCTCTTTCCTGTAGTTTGATTCAGTATACTCTTGTTCATTGCCTTCACAGGCAGGACCCTCTCTGGGTCTGAATCTTTAGTATAATTTTTGTTTCCTCTCATTTGATTTTATTTTTTTCCCTCAATTACATGTAAAAAATTTTCTGACATTTGTTTTTTTTAAATTTTGAGTTCCAAATTCTCTCCCTCCCTCCCCTCACCCTTCCTTGAGAAGTCAAGCAATTTTATATAGATAATAGATGTGAAGTCATGCAAAACATATTCCCATATTAGCCATGTTGCAAAAGAAAACACAAACCAAAAAAACAAACAAGGAAATTAAAGTAAAGTATGCTTTGATCTGCATTCAGACTTCACCAGTTCTTTCTCTGGAGGTGTCTAGCATTTTTCATCGTAAGTCATTTGGAGTTGTCTTGGATCATTGTCTTGATCAGAATAGCTCAGGCATCCACAGTTGATCATCATACAACATAGCCATTACTGTGTACAATGTTCTCCTAATTCTGCTCACTTCTCTTTGCATCAGTTCATAAAAGTCTTCTCAGGTTTTTCTGAAACCATTCTGCTTGTCATTTCTTATAGCACAATAGTATTCCACTATAATCATGTGCTACAACTTGTTCAGCCATCCCCAATCGATGGGCATCTCCTCTATTTCCAATTCTTTGCCACCACAAAAAGAGCTGCTATAAATATTTTTGTACATGTGGGTCTTTTTACTTTTTTTTTTCTAATCTCTTTGGGATGTAGACCTAGTAGTGTTATTGCTGGGTCAAAGGGTATGCACAGTTTTTATAGCCCTTTGAACATAGTTCCAGATTACTCTCCAGATTGGTTGGATCAGTTCACAACTCCACCAACAGTGCATTAGTGTCCCAATTTTCCTACATCCCCTCCAAAATTTGTCATTTTCCTTTTCTGTCATATTAGCCAATCTGATAGGTGTGAGGTGGTACCTCAGAGTTGTTTTAATTTCCATTTTTCTAATCAGTAGTGATTTAGAGCATTTTTTCATGTACCTATAGATAGCTTTGATTTCTTCATCCGAAAACTGCCTTTCATATCCTTTGACCATTTATTCAGTTGGGGAATGACTCATATTCTTAAAATTTTGATTTGGTTCTCCATGTATTTGAGAAACAAAGCCTATTCAGAGAAACTTGCTATAAATTTTTTTCCCCAGTTTCCTGCTTTCCTTCTAATCTTGGCTGCATTCATTTTGTTTGCGCAAAATCTCTTTATTTTAATGTAATCAAAATTATTCATTTTATATCTCATAATGTTCTCTATCTCTTGTTTGGTCATAAATTCTTCCCTTTGTAGATCTGACAGGTAGACTAATCCTTACTCTCCTAATTTGCTTTATATCTAAATCGTGCACCCATTTTGACCTCATCTTGATAAATGGTGTAAGATGTTAAGTCTAGATATAGTTTCTGACATACTGTTTTCCAGGTTTCCCAGCAGTTTTTGTCAAATACTGAGCTCTTGTCCCAAAATCTTGGGTCTTTTGGGTTTATCATTTGCTAGATTACTGTGGTCCTTTGTGTACCTAATCTATTCCACTGATCCACAATTCTATTTCTTAGCCAGTACCAGATTGTTTTGATGAATACTGCTTTGCAATATAGCTTGAAATCTGGTACTGCTAGGTGTTGCCACCTTCCTTCACATTTTTCTTCAATGATTCCCTTGATTTTCTTGGCCTTTTCTTCTTCTGTGGGTGGATTTTGTTATTTTTTCTAGCTCTGTAAAATAAATTTTTAGTAGGTTGGTATAGCACTGAATAAGTAAATTAATTTAGGTAGAATTGTCAGTTTTTATTATATTAGCTCAGCCTGCTCTTGAGCAGTTAATATTTCTCCACCTGTTTAGATCTGACTTTATTTGTGTGAAAAGTATTTTGTTATTGTGTTCATATAGTTCCTGGGTTTGTCTTGGCAGGTAGACTCCCAAGTATTTTGTATCATCTACAGTTACTTTAAATGGAATTTCACTGTTTCTTCCTCCTTTGTTGGTAATACGTAGAAATGTTCATGACTTACATGGGTTTATTTTATATTCTCCAATTTTGTTGAAGCTAATTATTTCCACTAGCTTTTTTAATGGATTCTCTAGGATTCTGTAAGTATCCCATCATATCATCTACAAAGAGTGACAGTTTGATTTCCCCATTGTCTAAATTCCTTCCATTTCTTTTTCTTCTCTTACTGGTATAGTCTAAACTGGTAACATGCTGCCACCTGCTGGTGCCCAGTGTGGCCTCCATTGCTCTTTCTGTGAACCATACCTTGAATTCTTTGGAGCCTGAGATTCCAGGCCTTGCCAGCTGGGCAGCATTGTTATAAGAATCTGTCCACGATCTACATGCCTGGGGGCTGACTCTGTGGCTTGTCCATCCAGCTGTACAGCTTCTTCCAGACAATGGGCATTCTTCACCCGTTTGGTTCTTCTAATAGCTAGTTTTGGTTTAAACTCCTTTTAGTGATCAATGATAGCTGTCTGAGACCTCTGCCCCTCTTTTTTGGTGCCCTCTGCCATCAAAAATTGTCCTCTCCAATTATTACTGACCTCAGGCCTCAGTACAGTCCAGCTGCTGTCCCCATTTTTTTCTTCAGTGCTCTTTCTGCTTCCTAATTTAGCACATCAGGAATTGGGATGTGACAGTACAAATGAAGTGCCTTCATTTTTGTTCCTAGTGAGCTGAGTTTAGGTTTTTTTAAACCTAAGCTGGCTTTGATGGGTTCCCTGTGTATATTAATATCATTCTCCAGCTAACTTTTTCCTTTTGATACATTTGCATCAACAGAATTTCATTCTTGGAATCATTCCACCTTTCTTGGCCTAACTTTCCTCAAAGATCTTCTTAGGACTGTGGTGCTTTTCAGAACTGGCTAAAATCTGATCCCCCAGGATCATGGGAATGGGGTAGGAGGCCCCTGTCCCCTTGGACCTGGCTAGTACATCCCCTTTCCTCCTGAGCACAGGTCATCTCGTTCAGCCTAGGTGCCCACCATCCCTTCACCATATGCCTCCACGGTAGGCTTGTGATGGGTTTCCCAAGCTCATCATCTGCCTCCAGATAGCAAGCACAAAGTCATAGGAAGGAGAGCGGCTCTTTCATGGCTGTCTTTCTATCCCCAGTGCCTGGATAACTTGAAATGGTCAGCTCTGATATCCTTCAGTCATAAATGTCATGGGTCTGTTTCCTCCTCCATTGACTTCCCAGACTCTAGTCTTGGATATCCAAACAGAAATATAGACAGAATAGGGCTTGGGTCTGTTTGGCACCTTCTCAACAACTTTATGATCTTAGGAGGAAGCTGTCTAGGGCATAAGTGACATGGCCCAGCATATGTCAGAAGACCTTCTTGGCTAAGGTGGCCAGTTCTCTATCCATTACTCTGTGCTGCCTCTCATGTGACCATTTTCCCTGTATAAAAGGGGGTGGTAGAGTAACATTTTACTTGTTATCTATCCCTTTTGGATAAGGTGGTACAGCCTTCCATAGCCATCTTCTGGCCTTGAGTTAGTTATGTGTTACCAAATCACAGAGGCCTATGAGGTTGTATTTACCTCTTTGGGTTAAGACTTCTGGTTCCCTGTATTTGCCAAGTATGCTCATCATTTCTTATGGAACAATAATATTCCATTACATTCATATACCACAACTTGTTCAGCCATTCCCTAATGGTTGGGTATCTCCTCAATCTCCAGTTCTTTGCCACCACAAAAAGAGCTGCTGTAAATGTTTTTGCACATGTGGGTCCTTTTCCTGTTTGTATGATCTCTTTGGGATACTGCCCTAGAAGTGCTATTGCTGGGTCAGTGTTTGCCAAATATGGGGGTCCTAGCTAGGAGGCTGGGCTTTTCAGTTGTTGTACCTTAGCTTGGCTATTGTCTTCTGTGGCAAGAGAAGCCCTGTGCAGAGAGCTCAGTGGCCACCAGCAATTTCAGGACCTGGCTAGAAAACCTGATGGGGAAGCGGGGCTCTCCAAACCTGCTCTAAGACTTCCAATCCCTTTTATTCCTGGAAGCCATGCCTAGTGAGCAGGTCATTGGCGGGAGCAATGTCCAGGGGGCAGCAGTGTGCAAGGATGAGATTTTTGAGCAGAGGTTCAGTGACTACTACTTGGGAGTGCTGCACCTTTTGGGGTGGATACCTTTTGGGTGCAAGTTGGACCGACTGACTGCCAAGCTTCTTCCAGTCCTAAAGTCTGTGATGTCTGTGTGCCTCCCAGTTCCAGCACCCTCTGACTGGAGCTGGAGGAAGAGGCCAAACAACCTCCTCACTGATGGGGCCGCCCCCACCCCCACCCCCACCCCATCCTGGTGCTGGAGAGCGAGACATGTCAGCCCTGCCAGGAAAGGAGCTGCAGAGAGCCTCAGTGCGATGAGCCTTGGGACAGTCTGCGTTTTGTTCATTTCTCCTGGCTTGGCAGACACAGAAAATGTGGATCCTTCACCCTCCCTTATGCCTGAGCTCCCATTATACCTTGTCCCTCTCACCAGCTGTCTTGGCCTTTTCATTCCTCCAGCTCTGCGTGGCCGTTCTACCCGGATGTCTGCCATCACAGAGACTCAGAGTCTCCTGGCTCAGGAGAATGACATGGAGGTAGACCCCTCTGTAGCTGCCAACACCAGGAGCCAGTTTACAATTCCCAGTAAGTAACAGAGAGAGCCTGGCTTGGAGTTGATGATGCAGACTTGGGGACTTGGAGGTGTCCCCTGCCTTGGCATAAGTGCCAGGACTGGCAGGAGGAAGGGAAGCGAGCCCCTCTGGACTCAGGGCTGGAACTTCCCTGTTGGCCCTCTCCCCACCCCAAGGTCCCTGGGTGAAGGGCATCTCTGAAGCTAAGATACCCCCTGCTTCTGCTGTGGGTATGAGCCTCTAATATAAGCTTGAGAGAGCTGCTGGCGCTCTGCAGACAGTGCTGTGAACCAGAAGCCCCTGGCTCGGGTAGGAGTATACTAGAGCTGTCATGGGCAGGGGCCTACGCAGGGAGATGTAGGCCAATAAAAGAAAGAGAAGCTAGGGTAGGCCAGTACTGAGGCCTTGAAGAACAAGGCATCAGGACCTCTTCCTGTTGGCGCTGGAGAGCTACTGAAGGTTTCTGAGCCTTGGGTGGGCTTTAGGAAGATAACTGTCAGCATGTGGGTGGGGGGTAACTCGAGGGGGCAGCCTCAGCGCAGAGAGGCTGCGTAGAAGGCCGTGGGGAGAAGAAATGAGGATGGGAAATGGAGAGGAGAGGGACTTGATTCTGGAAATCCCCATTGTGAGGAAGGCTCTGGACCATGGTGTTTTTAAGAGATAGAGGAGACTTTACTGGACACAGTGTTTGACTTTGGGCATGAGTCTGAGGCAGAAGGGTCCTAGTGGTGGTTGGCAAATAGACTAGTAGCTGAGGAGAGGGGTCTGGATTAGAGAGAAATTTGAAATTCTTCCTTGAAAATAAGGGACCTGAAGCCGTGGAAGGGTTCAATGAACCCTCTCTTTTTTTTTCTTTTTTTTCTTTTTTTTTTAGTGAGGCAGTCGGGGTTGAGTGACTTGCCCAGGGTCACACAGCTAGTAAGTGTCAGGTGTCTGAGGTCAGATTTAAATTCAGGCCCTCTGACTCCAGGGCTGGTCCTCTCTCCACTGTACTACCTGGATGCCCCTGGATCAACTCTTTTAAGGAAAGACCAGAGAGAAGAGAAAGGCAGAGAGCATCCCTGAGAAATGCCAGCCTTCATAGGGAGAGAGGAGAAAGAAAGGATAAATGAATGAATGACTGAGCATTTGTTAAATGCTTGCTTTGTGATTCAGCTCTGGGGAAGACACTAGCAGTAGTCAGAGGTAATGAGGGACGGGGGTGGGGGGGGGCCCTGAGGATTAATCATTAGTGTCCTGTGCTTCAAAGGAGTCCATGCCCATGGCTGTGGTGGTAGAGGCCTTTAGTGCCCTTTGAAAGGAGAGCTTTGGGATAGTGAGGCAGAATGGATAAACAGTGGGCTCCAGCGGAAGGAAAGACAGTGGGAACATCTGTACAAGGCGAGGGCTGCATGGGGGGACAGACAGACAGAGTGTGTTGCAGGAGCCAAGACCCAGAAGACATTTGCAAAGAAAAGGGTGGTGTCAAGAAGCAGGGAGAAGGGTGGCTGGGAGGACCAGAGGCAGGCCTGAACTTGGTGGTTGAGATTTGAGGGGAGCCTGTGTGTCTGTGTCTGTATCTATGTCTCTGTGTGTGCGTCTGTATCTGTGTCTCTCTATCTGTGTCTGTTTGTGTCTACGTCTGTGTGTCTGTGTGTGTCTGTACGTGTCTGCATGTCTGTCTCTGTGTGTCTGTGTATGTCTGTCTGTATGTATCTGTGTGTGTGTCTGTGTCTCTGTGTCTGTATGTCTCTGTCTTTGTATGTCTCTCTCTGTGTGTCTGTGTGAAAGGGAAAGGCTCTGACATCGTGAGCCCAGCGCTGTTGTCCTCAGGCCCAGAAGCTCTGGCGCTTGGCCTGCCATGTTTGTGCTCATGAGCAGATGTCAGGCTGGCCAGGCTCCTGCCAACACTTGCCTCTCCCCCTTCCTAGCGGGTCTGTCTCGTGCCCCGCGTGCTGGCATGAGCGAGATCCCACTGGCTGCTGTTAGTGAGGCTGCAGAAGAACAGACATCTTTCATCCGAGGCAACTCTGCTGCCAACCCAGCAAATTCAGGTAGTGCCAGAGGCCGGCAGGGCTAGGAGGGGCAGTATGATGGGGGAGGCAGCCAAGCTGGGCTTCAGGGCCCCTTAATGGCTCCTCCCTTGAATGGGGCTACACGGAGGCGCACTGCTCGTCCGGCCTCCTTCCCAGAGCACCGTAGATGGCAGCTGGCAGGGCCTCGGCCCAGCTGTGTCTGTCCCCTGGGATGCCTGCTGCATGGATACACATAGTGCCTTCCTGGCATTGCCCGTAATGGTGCAGGCTAAGATCCTCTCACTCATATAGAGCAGATGCCTATACCCTTCTCTCACAAGGTGGCTGGGGCTGGGGCTGGGGCTGAAGTTTGGGCTGTATTTTCAAAGGGCCTTGAATCAGACAATCAGATGCACCATGGGCAGTGAGTGCTAGGGGTCCCAAGAGGACGGCCAAGTCCTAGCTGCTACAGCCTGTCCCCAAATAAGGGTGCTCCAAAGGAGGAACCTCAGGGGGCCAAGATGAGTGAGACCATGTGGTCTAGAAGCAGCTGAGAAGAGAGAGCCCAGACCTGGGCCCCAGAAGCAAGACAGGGATTTCAGTAGGCAGTGGTAAAGCTTGCCTGGTCTGCCAGGAAAAAGGATCCCTTCTTGCTGGATACACCATTTAGCTCCAGGCATCTCCTTTAAAATAGCACAAGGGGTAGAGGAGTGAGTGCTGGGCAAGGGCAGGGAGCAGTGGGGCTGAGACACAGAAGGCTTGGGCTGGGCGAGTGAGTTCCAAGGCTGGAAGAGGCAGATTGGAGGCAGCGGGGTTCTGCAGGCCTGCAAGGAAGCATTTCCTCGCCTAGCTCGCATCCCAGAAGGGATGCACTAGGGGTCTGTGGTCAGATGTGCTTTAAGGAGGTGACTTTGGCACAAAGTGCCCCAAGAACCAGCTGGAATGGAGAGGTTTGGTTCCAAGCTTTGTTCTGAAGTGACCTCTTGACTCTGTGTTGCTCCTGCTACTTCTGCCTGAGCTCATGAACAGGGTGCCTGGGAGGGACAAGAGCTGCTGGAGTGGGGCTGCAGGCTCAGCTGGCCAGGCCTCGCCAGCCCAGCCGCCCCACCCCCAGCCCAGAGAGCTTTGGCTACACACCTGGAGGAAACAGGCTCTCAGAAATGACAATAGGTTGGGGATTTTTTCCTAGTTCGAAGGAAGTCATGCCTAGTGAAGGAAATGGAAAAAATGAAGACAAAACGAGAAGAAAAAAGGGCTCAGAACTCAGAAATGCGGATCAAGCGTGCACAGGTGCTTTCCTGGAACCCGGCGGGGCCTTGTCTTGATCCACACCACCCCTTTCCTAGCTGAGATCACATGGAGCCCTGTGTTTGGGCTCTTAGGGCCTGGATGCAGTGGGCCATGGGTTAGCAGCTGTGTTCTGAAGGGACTACTTCTGTACAGGCTGAATGTCAATTTGGGGTACTTTAGGACTTTTGTTAGGATCCTTTGGGTATCACCCCTCCCTTTTGGCCCTGAGCCCTTTGGGGCTTCCCCCACCTATGGGTTCTGAGCCCTTTGGGGTTGGGTCCTTCCTGCCTGTAGGCCCTGAGCCCTTTAGGGCTTCCCCCACCTGTGAGTCCTGAGCCCTTTGGGGTTGGATCCTTCTTGCCTATAGTCCCTGAGCCCTTTGCGCTTTCCACCACCTATGGTTCTTGAGCCCTTTGGGGTCCCCCTACCTCTGAGCCTGGGCTCACTCTGGGGGTACTTTCCAGTACTCTCTGCATGGATGGAGGCCCCAGAAAACTGGTGCAGTGGTCCTCCTTCCATCCATTGTTGCCCCACAGGAATACGATACTAGCCTGCCAAACTGGGAATTTGCACGGATGATTAAGGAATTCCGAGCTACTCTGGACTGTCAGAGACTCACCATGACTGACCCTGTAAGTGTGTTTGGCCGCTGACTGGACAGCAGCTGTCCTGCCCTGCTCCCTGGGTGGCGAGTGTCCATGCAGTCCAGGTGTGACTCAGATCTTCTGACGAGCCATTGCTGTGGGTGGCCAGGGCCCATGTGAGAATGGAGAGCCTCTGCCTGGGGCCCAGCCTTGGGGGAGGCAGGTATCGGGGTGCTGCATGGCTTGTCTTCCTGTCACCCCCACAGATAGAAGAACATCGGATATGTGTCTGTGTTAGGAAGCGCCCTCTTAATAAGCAAGGTAAGCCTGTGCCACGCTGTAGGCGCAACCCATGTGTGCATGTGTGTGTCTTAGGCATGTCTCCTGAGGCTGCAGACCTGTGCTTTCCTCTTGCAGAACTGGCCAAGAAGGAGTTTGATGTGATATCAGTCCCCAGCAAGTGCCTCCTGCTGGTGCACGAGCCCAAGCTGAAAGTGGACCTGACCAAGTACCTGGAGAACCAGGCATTCCGCTTCGACTTTGCCTTCGATGAAACTGCATCCAATGAGGTTGTCTACAGGTAGAGTTCTGCGTATCCCGTACAATCCTCCTCCCAGCGAAGCCTCGGGGTCCCCGGTCAGGCCTCCTCTGCCCTGCCATCGGAACCCAGGCTGGGTCTGCCCCACACAAAGTGTTGGATTTCAAGTCCTGCCGATGGGTTTGGCAGACAGGAGAGAAGCGGCTGGCCTTTCGCCTTGAGCCCAAGATCGCCCTGTGTAGCTGAGCCCATCCAATGAGGTGGAAGCTCTGCCAGCGCTCTGTCAGGACTGCCAGGGGGGCTGAAAATCTTTCTGGCCAGCCCTTTGCTGGCGGCCACTCCGGAGTCGGGTTCTGATGGGACACTGCAGCTTGGGGCTCAGCAGCAGCTTTCCCAGTTCTGCCAAGTTAGTGACCCCTTAGCCCTAAGGAGGAAGTTAAGATACATTTTGTCAGACTGAGCCAGAGAGGGGCCGGAACGTGCCTCAGAGGGCAGCAGCCTTTGCCCAGCTCCCAGCCTTCTTTCCTTGTAGGTTCACAGCCAGACCGCTGGTGCAGACGATCTTTGAAGGAGGAAAGGCGACCTGCTTTGCTTATGGCCAGACAGGCAGTGGCAAAACCCATGTGAGTCTCGGTGAAGGGCTGGGCCCTGCCACAAGGTGGCCTCAGAGAGAGCCCAGCCTGGCAACCTTTTCAATGGGCTGGTTTGCCCTAGGGTCTCCACAGGGAGGAGAGTGAGAAGTGGCCCAGTGGGGAGAATGAAAGGGGATGCTGTGTCTCTTGTTGAAGGCTTCCCCTATGCTGGGTCCTGGGCGTGTCCCCTCAGCTGATGGGGCTGCTGCTTCCCTTTGCAGACAATGGGCGGTGACTTCTCTGGGAAAAGCCAGAACGCCTCCAAGGGCATCTACGCATTTGCCTGTAAGTCCCACGGAAGCCTCGCTTCATCCTGGCTTCGGGTCATAGCTTGAGGAGTCGTGGCCAAGCTGAGCTCCCTCCCCCTACTAGCCCAGGGCTTCCCTCCCCCTTCCTACTTAGATTCAGGAGTGAAGGCTGCACCCAGAACATTCTTCCTGCCTGCCTCCCTGTCTTCCCTCTAGCACGAGATGTCTTCTTGCTAAAGAATCAGCCCCGATACAGAAACCTCAGCCTCGAAGTCTACGTGACCTTCTTTGAGATCTACAACGGGAAGGTCAGTAGAAGGTCAGAATAGGGTCAGGGGACCCTGCTCTGCTCAGTCCCTGTATCCCTCCCTATGGGTGTTGAGCTGAGAGACCAGCTCATCTCTCAGCTCCCTGAGCTTGGGGCTCAGGCCAGGACTCCAGACAGTCCCGGTGCCCCAAAGAGCTGTTCATTTGTCAAGTAGCCTCTTTGCTGGCCTGGCACCTAGCTTTCCTAGTTGGGGTTTTTGCCCCAGGGGTTCTTGTTTCTGACCCAGCTTCTTTCTCTAGAGGATCGAAGCAACCTCATGTGCTCCCAGCACCCTGGAGGAAGGGAATGGTGAGGGGAGAGGGAGGAAGATGTGGTGCCATGGGCCACCTCTGCCAGCTGGGCCCCCTTTGCCTTCCCCACTGTAGCTGTTTGACCTCCTGAACAAGAAGGCCAAGCTTAGGGTCCTAGAAGACGGCAAGCAGCAGGTGCAGGTGGTGGGGCTGCAGGAACATCTGGTGAACTCGGCTGACGATGTCATCAGGATGATTGAGACGGGCAGCGCCTGTAGGTGAGGAGAAGGCCCTGTCAGTCATATGGCCAAGGGAGAGCTGGGAGGGGCCGTGGAGGAGCCATGGAGGAGCAGAGATGGGGCCTAGGTCTCCCCTCCTCACTGCATTCTGTCATCTGCTGCTGCTCCACTCAGCGCAGGAGTTAAACAGTCGTGGGGAGTCTGCCCTGGCTTTCAGGGAGTAGGCAGGCAGCTCAGTCAGTCAGACATTCATTAAGCACCTGTTGTGCCAAGCATTAGACATACAAAGAAAGACAAAAGACAGCTCCTGCCCCCATGGAGCTTACACTCTAAAGGAGGAGACAACATGCAAACAAATATACAAAGCAAGCCATGTGCAGGATAGATAGGAAATGACCAACAGAGAGAAGGCAGTGGAAATAAGACAGATGGGGAAAGGCTTGTGTAGAAGGTAGGACTTTAGCTGGAACATGAAGGAAGTTGGGGAAGCCAGGAGGCGGAGAGGAGGAGGGAGAGCATTCCAGGCAGGGGCCACAGCCAGAGAAAAGGCCCGGAGTTGGGAGATGCAGGGTCTGTGTAGAGAAGGCCAGGGCCCAGCCAGGAGGCTGAAAGTATAAGGAGGAGGGAGTAAAGTGGAAGAAGACTGGAAAGGGGCAGGAGACAGCTTGTGAAGGGCTTTGAACACCAGACAGGACAGTTTGTATTTGATCCTGAAGGCAACAGGGAGCCACTGGAGTTACTGAGTGAAGAGGTGACATAATTGGGCCTGTGCTTGAGGAGAATCACTTTAGTGGCTAAATGGAGGATGGCGCAGAATGGGCTGGCAGTCCCAGCCCCAGGCTGGTGCAATAGTCCGGGTGTGAAGTGCTGGAGGCCTGCAAAAGGGGGAGGGGGATGGAGTGGCACCTGCAGTGTCAGAGGAGAGAAGCGGGGGTGTTGTAGAGAAGCCACAAAGGTGAAATCCAAAGGTCTTGTCAAATTGGATTTGGGGGGAGTCAGTGAGAAATAGGAGTCCAGGATGACACCAGGCTGCCAACTTAGGGAGACTGGGGGGGTGGTAGTATGCTCCATGAGTAATAGGGGAGTTTAAAAGCTGATGAGGGTTTAAGGGGTAAGAAAATGAGTTTGCGATTTGGACAGGTTGGGTTTAAGAGGTCTATGGGACATCCAGTTTGGGATGTCTGAAAGGCAATTGGCAATGAGACTTGAGGTGAGTGGAGAGGTTGGGCAGGAGAGTTAGACTGGAGGGTCACCAGCATAGAGATGGTCATGAAATCCGTGGGAGCTGATGTGTCACCACGTGACATGGTATAGAGGGAGAAGGGGAGAAGGCCCGGGACGGAACTCTGGGGGCCTTGTGCAGGTAGAGGGTGTGATCCGGAGCAGGATTCAGCAAAGGAGACTCGAGATGGAGCAAGCAGAGAGGTGGGAGAACCAGGGGAGAGAGAGTGTGTCCTGAAAACCTAGAAAGAAGAGACTGTCATGGAGGAGAGAGTGATTGGCTGTGTCGGAGGCCACACAGAAGGCAAAGAGAATGAGGATGGGAAAAAGGCCACTGGATATGGCAGCTGGGAGGTCATTAGTGACTTCAGAAAAAGCAGCTTCAGTGGAATGATGAGGTCAGAAGCTGGACTGTAGGGGGTTGAGAAGACAGCAAGATGACAGAAAGAGGAGGCCCCAGTTGTAGATGCCTTTTCAAAGAGCACAAAGGGCAGAAGGAGTATAGAATGATAGAGATGGCAGGATCAAGGGAGGGTTTCTTCAGGGAGAAATGCCCATGTTTTTGGGCAATGGGGAAGGAGCCAATAGAATGGGAGAGATTGAAGATGAATGAGAGAGTCACAAAGGCGGAGGAGGCGGCACAGCCTGGCAGTAAGGAGAGGGCTCAGCCACGGCGGGGAAGGCCGCCTCTTTATGGGGGACGAACGTGAAGGAGGAGAGGGGCAGAAGACATTGGGGGGATGAAAGAGGAGGAAGAGGGCGGAGGAGGGAGCTCATGGCAAGCGGCCTCAGCTTTTTCTGTAACATGAGGCAGGTTTCTCACCTGAGAAGGTTTGGAAGGGCTTCTGTGGAGAGTGGGAGAGGGAGTTGATAAAGAACAGCAGGATTGCCAAACAGCAGAGAGGGCCCAGTTGAGGTTTAAGTTGATCACAGGCCCAGGTAGAATGGGTGTGTTTCTCTGCCTTCATTCAGCAGCATGTAGTGGGAGTAATCCAAGGCTGAGACATGGCTGGGTGTAATGGGCAATATAAGCGAGAGTTGGTCAATTAGTGTTGAACTGATTCACCAAAGGGTCGAGATGGGAGAAGAGGAGAGGGTGGCTAGTGGAGGGGTGATGCTGGGAGAGAACTGAGGGTTCAAGAGGCTGGATGTCACAGGATAAACCACATGGGAAGGTACTGAGGCCCGGAGGGCCACTGCCATGGCCCTGACTCCCTTTGTCTGGCAGGGGCTGCCATGCAGGCGGACGCCGGAGCCTGCTGTGGCCGTCTCTGCCTCTCTTCCTGAGCACCCCTGCGTAAGGCAGCTCAGGCGGGGACACCCTCTAACGTGCTCCTCCCTGTGCCCTAGGACCTCAGGACAGACATTTGCCAACGCCAGCTCTTCCCGATCCCATGCCTGCTTCCAGATCCTGCTCCGGGCCAAGGGGAAGCTGCATGGCAAGTTCTCCCTGGTGGATCTGGCCGGGAATGAGCGAGGGGCTGACACATCCAGCGCCGACCGGCAGACCCGCATGGAAGGGGCCGAGATCAATAAGAGCCTGCTGGCCTTGAAGGTAGAGGCCAGAGGCCAGGACGGTGGGGTGCTTCAGAGGGGTTGGGGTGCTGGGTCCCAGGACCTCAACGTCTCCCTCTGCCCTGCAGGAATGTATTCGGGCTCTGGGGCAGAATAAGTCACACACCCCATTCCGGGAAAGCAAGCTGACCCAAGTGCTCAGGGACTCCTTCATTGGGGAAAACTCGCGGACCTGCATGGTAAGGCCCAGGTGTGCTCCAGGTACCTGGCCCATGGACACTGACCATGGGGGTGCCCAAGGCCCTGAACCCACAGCTTGGAACCTTTCCTGCTCTGGGGAGCAAGAGAGGGTTGGGGCCAAGATCCATCCCTGGATGTGGCCTGCAGGCTCGGCGCCTCTGGCAGCCTCACCTGCTTGCTGCTGGCCACCCCTGGCCCACCAATGCCTCCCCGAGTCCTCAAGTCCCCCTTGAGCATCCTGCTCCGACGGAGCATCTCTGGGCTCTGGGCTTCTTTCTGACCTGCCAGGATCCTGGTTATTCCAAGAGTTCTTCAGAAACAAGGGAGGGGTGGGTATGAAGGAAGATTGTGCTGTCCTGTAAAAACCGTGAAAAGAGACAAAAGCCACTAAACTGGAATGCCAGGTCTCAGCCGGTCTCAAGAAGATGCAGGTGGACAGGTGGCTGGGCCCAGTTCTCATTCTATGAGGGAGCCCCAGGCCACTCAGCAACCTGGGCCGTGTCTCCCTCCCCAGATCGCCATGATCTCCCCAGGGATGAGCTCCTGTGAATATACTCTGAACACCTTGAGATATGCAGACAGGTACAAAGGCATGGGCAAGCAAGGGACAGAGAGGGTACATGGGGCAAGACTTGTCTGATGCTGGGGGTCAGGCGGGGCAGGGGTGGGAAAGGGGGAAGTGCCAGGCCTGGCCTGCTTAGCCCACCACCACCTAGGGGCCAGCCTGGGAGGAGCCTGGGCCTGACTTCCTTTCTTCTCTCCTTCACTCCTGCCAAGGGTCAAAGAGCTGAGCCCTCACAATGGTGGGAATGGGGAACTGCAGACCCAAATGGAGACAGAGGGGGAAGAGCTGGAGCCCAGCTCCGACAGCACCAGTCACTCCCATGGTGTAAGTGAAGCCAGACAGTGGGGCTTAGGGAGCAGAAGGGGGGGAGAAAGGGTGGGCTGGGCTGGCGGCCAGAGCCCTGCCTTCAGCAGAGGCCTGTCCTTCCTTGGCATGGCCAGCTGTCCAAGGATGAAGAGGAGCTCTCATCCCAGATGTCCAGCTTCCAGGAGGCCATGACCCAGATCGGGGAGCTAGAGGAGAAGGCCATAGAGGAACTCAAGGAGATCGTTCAGGTACTGAGAAGGCCGGCCAGGCCCTCCCCGCCACGAGAACTGGTCCCTGGGCATGGGAAGTCCTGACTCAAATGAGGACAGGTTCATGTGTGTCGTAGCAGCCTTGAGAGGGACACAGTTGGACACTTCCGCAGTGTCTTACAGATCAGCAACTCAGCTCAGAGCGGGGAAGTGTGTCCCCAGCTGCAAAGCGAGAGCCCCAGGTCTTCAGGGCCCCTGCCTTGGCCTGGCCAAAGTTGGCACAGCTCCAGTGCAGGCTCCCTTCTTGCTGCACCCCTAAACAAGGCACCTGGCTGCTATCGTGCCCCATTCTCCTTAGGGGCAGCTCTTCCAGCATCTGCCTGCAACCCCACCCCTCACTCCCCCTGCAGACCACTTTGCCACCTGCTGTCTGGGGTGGAAGCCCCCATTCCCCACTCCCAACCCACACATTTTAGAGCCCTGAGAGGATGGTGAGGTGTCATCAGACAGGCAACCCACCCTCCCTCTTTTGCTGTCCTAGAGATACAGTCTTATTAGCACCCTTCCCAAAATGTGGCTCTGAGACCTGACCACAGATGGGACTGTCCTCTACCACATTCTGGACACTGCCTCTCCTCATGCAGCATCAGGTAGCATTGGATCCTCACAAGCCAGCACACAACAGTCTGCTCTCTGACCATGCCGGGGACTCTGTTCTGTATTTATAACATTTCTATTTTCAAACTCAAGGCTGGAACTTTATATTTTATCCCTGGGAAATTTAGCCTCAGTGAATTTAGCCCTATGTGCTAGCCTACCCAGACCTGGTCATACGGTGTGTTTACTCTCCCTCCAAGCTTTGGCTGCTCTGTGGACATAGATGTTTCTGGGCCTCAAGTCATTGATAAGAATGTCCAACCAGCCAGGACCAGGCAGAGATCCCAGGGGAATCTGGGGTCCAGTCATTCAGCCACCAACCAGGCTGCCTGACTGTACCATCATCTAGGCCACGTCTTTCCGTCTCGTCCAGGAAAACAGCAGCACGGGAGGGGTGTCTGTCTCTCTGATGTCCTCTGAGCCGTCATTGTGGTCCCCCTGTCGGTGTGGTCAGGTGGTCCTGGCATAGCGGTGCTGGCTTTTGAACTGAGCAGAAGTCATCTCTGATAATTCATCCTGTTGAGAAGGAAGGGACCACCCCACCCCCACCCCCACCTTTCTGTGGTTAGCAGAGAAGTGTGGACTGTGATACAAAATGTGGCGTGTATCTGCTGCAGACAGGGCTGTCCTGTCGAATGGACTGGCTTTTAAGTGCTTTGGGTTTTCTCCAGTTCATAGTTGTTGCTGGTTCTTAAAAATTGTCAACCATTTTTTTTCCTCCCAACCTTTCTGTCTTCCCACTTGAAAAAAAAAAAAGAACAAAACCCTTGTAACAAACACATGTATTTAAGCAAAACCAGTTCTCGTATTGGCACTATCCACAAAATGTGTGTCTTGTTCTACATGTTTGCCTCTCGCCTACCATTTTTGAGGGGAGTGAATCCTCTGGGATCATAGTTGGTTGTGGGGTTGAACAGAGTTCCTAAGTCTTTCAAAGTTTGTTTTTCGTTTTTTTTTTGTTTGTTTGTTGGGTTGGGTTTTTTAGGTAGTTGGGGTTAAGTGACTTGCCCAGGGTCACACAGCTAGTAAGGGTCAAGTGTTTGGTCTGAGGCCAGATTTGAACTCAGGTCCTCCTGACTTCAGGGCCAGTGCTCTATCCACTGTGCCACCTATCTGCCCCCAAAGTTTGCTTTTCCAGTGTTGTTCTAGTATAAATTGTTCTCCTGCTTTTGCTCCCTTCCCTCTGCATCATTTCATACAAGTCTTCCAGGTTTCTCTAAATCCACCCCCCCCCATTTCTTACAGCAGAATTATTTTCCATCACACTCATATATGTTAATCTGTTCTGTCATCCCCCAATTGATGGGTGCGCATGGGTGCATGGATGGACGGACACACACACACACACATATACACATACAGTTTACCATTTTTCGCCACTACAAAAAGAGCTGCCATAAATATTTTTGTGTGCATAGGACTTTGTTCTATTTGATTTCTCTAGTGACATGGCCAGATTCAAGTATAACATGCCCAGGTTAGTAATTTTTGGAGTGGAGGAAAGAAGAGATGGGGAGAAAAATTGGAACTCAAAATTGTGTGGAAGTGAATGTTGAAAACTAAAAGTAAATAAATTAATTAATTTTAAAAATTAGAAAAAAAAAAAGAAAACCAAAAACAAAACCCTTGTAACAAATATGCATAGTCAAGTAAAGCAAATTCCTAAGTTGTCCAAAAAAAAAAAAAGAGCAAGGAGAAGAGAGTTGAGGGGAATACGGCTACAATAAAAAAGATTAATTTAATCTCACCTCCCCGCTCTTCCTCTCCACTATAAAAGCTTTTTCTTGCCTCTTTTATGTGAGATAATTTACCCCATTCTACCTTTCCCTTTCTCTTTCTTCCAGTACAATCCTTTCTCTCCTTAATTTTATTTAAATATATTCCCTCCAACTATCCTAATACTGAGAAAGGTCTCATGAGTTACAAATATTATCTTTCCATGTAGAAATGTAAATAGTTAAACTTTAATAAGTCCCTTATGATTTCTCTTTCCTGTTTACCTTTTCCTGCTTCTCTTGAGTCTTATATTTGAAAGTCAGATTTTCTATTCAACTCTGATCTGTTCATCAAGAGTGTTTGAAAGTCCTCTATTTCACTGAATACCCACTTTTTTCCCCTGAAGGATTACACTCAGTTGTGCTGGGTAGGTGATTCTTGGTTTTACTCCTAGCTCCTTTGACCTCTGGAATGTCATAGTCCAAGCCCTCAGATCCCTTAATGTAGAAGCTGCTAAATCTTGTGTTATCCTTATGTTTCCACAATACTTGAATTATTTCTTTCTGGCTGCTTGCAATATTTTCTCCTTGACCTGGGAACTATGGAATTTGGCTATAATATTCCTAGGAGTTTTCCTTTTGGAATGTCTTTCAGGAGTTGATCGGTGGATTCTTTCAATTTCTGTTTTGCCCTCTGGTTCTAAAATATCAGGTCAGTTTTCCTTGATAATTCCTTGGTTTTGTTTTGGGCTTTTTGGGGTTTTTTAGGCAATTGGGGTTAAGTGACTTGCCCAGAGTCTCATAGCTAATATGTGACAAGTGTTTGGTCTGAGGCTAGATTTGAACTCAGGTCCTCCTGACTTCAGGGCCAGTGGTCTATCCACTGTGCCACCTAGCTGCCCCGATAATTTTTTGAAAGATGGTGTCTAGGGGCAGGTAGGTGGCGCAGTGGATAAAGCACTGGCCCTGGATTCAGGAGGACCTGAGTTCAAATCTGACCTCAGACACATAATGCTCACTAGCTCTGTGACCCTGAGTAAAAAAAAAAGAAAGAAAGATGATGTCTAAGCCCTGTTTTTGATCATGGCTTTCAGGTAGTCCAATAATTTCTAAATTATCTCTCATGGACCTGTTTTCCAGGTCAATTGTTTTTCCAATGAGATATTTCACATTGTTTTCTATTTTTTCATTGTTTTGGTTTTGTTTTATAATTTCTTGATTTCTCATAGAGTCATTAGCTTCCGTTTGCTTCATTCTAATTTTTAAGGAATTATTTACGTGAAGCTTATCTTGATGTATATGGTGTGAGATGCTGGTCTAAACTTAATTTCTGCCAGAGTGCTGTACAATTTTCCCTGCAGTTTTTGTCAGATAGTGAGTCTTTTACCTCAGTTAACTGTGGCCTTTGTGTTTAAACACTAGGCGACTATGTTTGCTTCTCGTGTATGTTGTGTACCTTATCTGATCCACTGATTGACTTCTCTGTTTAACTAGTACCAAATCATCTTGACTCCTGCTTTGTAGTATAGTTTGAAATTTGATACTGTTAGGCTCCCTTCCCACTTCTTTCACCTTTTTTGTTTTTTTTTTTTTGGTGAGGCAATCAGGGTTAAAGTGACTTGTCCAGAGTCATACAGCTAGTAAGTTTCAAGTGTCTGAGGCCGGATTTGAACCCAGGTCCTCTTGACTCTAGGGCCGGAGCTCTATCTATTGCACCACCTAGCTGCCCCTCCTTCCCATTTTTTTCATCATTTCCTTTGAGATTCTTGACATTTTTGTTCCTCCAGATCAATGTGGTCATTTTTTCTACCTCTATAAAATATTCCTTTGGTAGTTTGATTGTTATGGCACTGAATAAGTAAATTAAATTAGGAGATACTACCATTTTTATTATATTGGCTCAGCCATCAATACGTAATATTTCTCCAGTTATTTCAGTCTGTCTTTGTTTCTGTAAATGGTGTTTTGTAGTTACATTCTTAGAATTCCTGTGTATATCTTCATAGACTCCAAAGTATAAGTTGTTTTTCAGTTGTGTCCAACTCTTCATGACCCATTTGGGGTGTTCTTGGCAAAGATACTGGAGTGTTTTGCCATTTCTTCGCCAGCTCATTTCACAGATGACGAAACAGAGGCAAACAAGATGAAGTGACTTGCCCGGGGTCACACGGTATTTGAACTCAGAAATGGCAATCTTCCTGACTCAGGACCTAGCACTCTGTGCACTGTGGCACCACCTAGCGCCTTGAAGTATACCATCCTATTATCAGCAAAGTGATGTTTATTTTGTCTTTGCCTGTGTTTATTCTCTTAATTTCTTTTTCTTGTCTTTATTGCTCTGGCTGGCATTTCTAGTGTTTATCAAATAGTAGTGGTAACAATGAATATCCTTACTTTACCCATCATCTTGTTGGAAAAGATTCTACTTTATCTCTGTCACATATGATGTTGGTCCTTGGTTTTTGGCATATACTATTTACCATGTTAAAGAAAAGTCCATGTATTCCTAGGTTTTCTAGTATTTTAACAAATGGGTGTTATGTTTTGTCAAAAACTTTTTCTTCATATCTTCATAGTGTGATTTTTGTTGTTGTTATTAACATGTCAGTTATGTTTATAATTATCCTAATGATGGTAAACTAGTTCTGAATTCCTGGTATAGATGCA